CTACTGTTGTTTTAAAATTGTATTATTTTGATTTTAAGTTACATGTGTTGATGGGGGTTGTTATAATTTTATGTGACTTGTTTTATATTTTTGTACCATTTGTACCTGTTGTGTGTTATATGTGCACCCTGGAGTGCCTTGTAAGCCGCCCCTTCAGGGAGATGGTGGTGGGATATAAATAAAGTTTATTATAAGTTTGTACCCTATTAACTCTACAGAGAACAGAATGAAGTGGACTCTTGCCCTTCTCAAATAGATTAGGAAAAAGCAAATCATTATTGTCTTTTCTAGCTTGTCTGTTCTTGGGTTGTTGTAGGTTTTTTTGGGCTATATGGCCATGGTCTAGAGGCATTCTCTCCTGATGTTTCACCTGCATCTATGCCAGGCCTCCTCAGAGGTAGTGAGGTCTCACTACCTCTGAGGAGGCCTGGCATAGATGCAGGCGAAACGTCAGGAGAGAATGCCTCTAGACCATGGCCATATAGCCCAAAAAAACCTACAACAACCCAGTGATTCCGGCCATGAAAGCCTTTGACAATACATTGTCTGTTCTTCTCATGCTTGCCTTCTTGGTCATAGCCTCAGCAACGAATTTCCCCAATGTTCATCTATGAAATGTTGGAGGGCAAGCAAAGGCAATGCAAGGATGAACTCTAACATCAGCAAAAATGCACCATTGCATTTGTAAGAATGGTGTACAGGCAGTCCCTGAGTTACAAACATCCGACTTACATATGACTCATAGTTAAGAACCAGGATGAGACAAAGGAAATCAGAAAAATCTATCCCGAGGAAGGTAAATTCACTCCTGAAACAATTATCATGGGGAAAAGATGTCTCCACTCAGGCATGTAGCCGGGGGGGGGGGGGGGGAGCTTGAGGGGCTTCACCCCCCCCCCCAAATTCTCATGGTGGTCCACAAGAAGGCCTTACTGGTGCATTATTTAAACTGTTATGTTTATTCATATCATGATCTGATCACCATGGGGGTATTGGTGTAACGATACAAAAGGTTTGCTAAGCTAGACCCTCTTTCACTCAGCCCCCCCCCCCCCCCCCCCCCCCCCCCCCCCCCCCGAATCAAAATCCTGGCTATGGGCCTGTCTCCACTGAAGCTTTATCACCAATCTCTGTTTCACAAGAAGGCAAATTTTCTAAAATCCAATTCCCACAGGGACAGAAAATGAGATGAAATCTTCTGAACAGGGGCAAAGACAGGAAAACAAACATCACTATCTAACTATGTCTGTGTGTGTGTGGCTGGAGTTACACTTAAAAATGTACATGTTCCGACCTACATACAAATTCAACTTAAGAACAAACCTACAGAACCTATCCTGTTTATAACCTGGGTACTGCTTGCATATCCCCTGTTGAAAGGCACAGTAGAGTTTCGCTTATCCAACATAAACAGACCAGCAGAATTTTGGATAAGCGAAAATGTTGGATAAGACTATTAAGGATTAAGGAAAAGACTATTAAATGTCAAATTATGTTATGAATTTTACAAATTAAGCACCAAAACATCATGTTTTACAATAAATCGACAAAAAAAGCAGTTCAATATACGATAATGTTATAAAGTAATTACTGTATTTATGAATTTAGCACCAAAAGATCTGGGTGGGAGGCAGACTGCACTGGATAATACAGAACATTGGCTAAGTGAAGGTTGGATAGGCGAGACTCTCCTTTATGTCAAAAAGAGACAGCAAAAGATGACTTTTATACAAATGCATTTTTCCAAGTTTGACCATGGAAAGTAAAAAGATAGAGTTAACTTTCTGAAGCAGGCACAATGCTTGCACTCAACATGCAGGCGGCTAAGAACAATGCCAGGAATGTGCTAGCTGTGTGTTATCTTTTATTATGGCCTACGGTGGCTGCATTTGTGCATGCTCAGATCCTACACTTAATGCTAGCCGAATTGTGATGTGTTAGGCCAATCCCATTTGTCCTTCTAGATAAACTAAGGTCCCTTCCACACAGCTGTAAAAAATCCACATTGAACTGGATTATATGGCAGGGTGGACTCAGATAATCCAGTTCAAATCAGATATTGTGGATTATTTGCTTTGATATTCTAAGTTATATGGCTGTGTGGAAGGGCCCTCAGTCAACATTCCTGAATGACTGACATCATATAAGCACCCTCCCCCCTTTTCTCTACACCCAAGTGAACTGTTCTTACATCTTTTTAGCCAGATCCGACATTTCCAATGCAAGGCAAGGATGCAGATTTATCTTAGCAGGTTTATGTTCCAATGTCAATAAACTGGCAGTTTTGTGACCATGTTAAAAGTAGCAAAGTATCTTATGCTCTTCCAGCCATGGTACTTGTTAGTGTTTCAGAAAAAGATCATTTCAAATTTAAGAAAAAAATGCAATTAAAATGTTTTAAAAGGAATACCTTATTATTGCAACTCTGGCATAAATAATAAATAAATAAAAACTAATTTCATGAAGGCCAACCATCAGTGAGTTTTAAAGGGTACCAACAAAATTGGAAATAACCTTCCAAAAGGTATTATAGGAGAAATTGTTTTGAAAATAATGGTAAAAAGGATTTAATACCCCTGGAAACCTGGCGTGTACAAAGGTGCCTTTCACATCCAATTTGGGGACATTTTAACAACTTTTTTTCTACTCCTGGTGGCCACAGAAATAGTCTTGGGAAGTTGCATGCAGCTTGCAGGTCAGAGTTTGCTCATCTAAACTTTATAATGACCTCTCCAGTTATGGCATTTTTACAGTTTCATATCTGTTTCCATTAACTATCCCTAAATGCAGAAAAGCATTTACAATTTTCCAGCTTCAGTGCATTGCCATCAGCTTTACTAGAAGGTCAATTTAATAAGACCCTAGCTAATGAGTGAAAATGCCTGTGTGAAGTGGAAATATTGGAAACAGCTGAGCATGTTCTTCAGCACCACATTCTGCATAACAATTGCAGAGACCAGTTAATCTCTCCTCTGTGAAAAGCTTTTTTTCTGGAAACTCTTTTGTGTTGAAGATTAATTTCCCTTCATTTCTGAAAGAGTGGCCAGTTTGGTTGTTTTATAATCTCGGTGCATATTTAGAGTAGCAAAAGTTACGATCCCAATGCTTTATTAAATATGCAATTATACCAATGTGTTGACATGTTGCTATTTGCTCTTTTTTCACTTCTGTGGTATGTTTTTGATCTGAACTACATTATACTGTATTTTTAAAAGGCAGATAAGTAATAATTTCCTTTTGGAAAACCAGTAAGGGTAGCGGCAGCCTAAATTTCCATGGGAAAGAATTCAGCATTCAGAGTTGTTGGTTGTTATTGTGTGCCTTCAAGTCATGTCCAATTCAAGGTAGTAACCCTTTCATAGGATTTTCTTGGCACAATTTGCCAGGAGAGGCTTTGCCCTTGCCTTCCTCCAAGGCTGAAAAAGTGTGACTTGCCCAAGGTTACACATTGAGTTTCTTTCCATGGCTGAGTGGAAAACCAAAGTCTGGTCTCCAGAGAGTTGCAGGCTGTGTCTACACCAGGAGAAATAATCCAGAGTAGTCTGCTCAGGAGCTGCTCCGGATACATCATGGGAGTGTCCCAAAGTGCCAGTGTCCTGTTGGCTGGCTGACAGTATTGACACCTCTTGGAAGGTGCTGCTACCATTTCACTAGCCAGACGCAGTTTCCTGGCAGTATTGCTTCTGGTGAGTTTACACCAGGATGCCCAGCCAGCACCAGTAAAGCTCTACTTAGGAGCTGCTTCTGACCAGCAAAGCAGCAATGGGTCTTTTTGATGTGTGGACACTGGATCGCTCTGGATCCAGCCCAGTCTAGCTCTCCACACATCAAAAACACCAGGGACCATTCAGGGATTTGGAAGCCAAGTAACCTGCAGTTCTTCTTGTATTACATGAAAAGTTAGAAGCTGGGGGACTGACTGTAAGTCATGTGGACCATTCGTAGTGAGTTTGAGGGGAGTACATGTTACTTGGCACATGTAGATGGAGTGTGTTCAAACCACTACACCATGTTGGCTGACACTAGTAAAGGTAAAGGTTTCTCCATGACATTAAGTCTAGTTGTGTCCGACTCTGGGAGGTGGTGCTCATCTCCATTTCTAAGTTGAAGAGCTGGCATTGTCCGTAGACAGCTCCAAGATCATGTAGCCAGCATGAGTGCATGGAGCACTTACCACTATAAAACAGCCCCTAGCCTTAAGCTCATGGGCATGAGCACAATCGTGTATTTCCACTTTGTGGCAGAATGAAAATCACATAGTTCATGTCTTTACCAGTCCACACATTGTCTTGCTAGAGAAAGGATATGATAAGCGGATGATCAGTAACGAATAAGGTGTTTATTCTTTATTATGCAGAGCAACATATATGTGAAGAATTGCATTGACTCACACAATGTCCTTTGAGAGAGATTCAAATGTTCATTGGGTGTCCATGTGAAGGATTTTCTTCCAGTAGCTCAGTAGCAGAAAATATACTAACTTATCTTGGCAAGCTCCTGTACAGAAAAACCTAAACATGTAACTGTTGCTAAAACTCCCAGGCTCAGCTAGCATCCCGGGCATAGCCCAACCAGCTTCATGCTTTGCATTTTTCAGTTAACACACTCACCAACTGATTTTTATATGCTCCAACACACTTGTGTTCCTCAACAACTATTTTATGGGATCTGTGCTCGCTCACTCTCTTTTATGGGAGGCAATGTAATTCTACTGACTAGGAACCACTGATAGCCTTGTTATCATACTAATTTGATCAGTTGTTTCCAACATCTTGGGCAGATGGTCTACCCTTGCTTGCTGCCCAAGATCCTTTCAACTGGAGATTGGGCCTCAAGGCTTTGCTATATGCAAAAAGCACCTTGTCTGCTTCTGAATTGTAGCCCCAATCCTTTTAGCTGTGTATTCGGTATGTTTCTTAAATCTAAACCAGAAAATGACTTTGCTGCATAATATGACATTAACTTTCCACCATTCATTCTCCCTCTCATCTTGTTTTTAGGTTGGCAGTAGAGGAACAATTCGGGATTACTCTGGCTTTAATGCATCAAGAGATGCTGAGGCAATTCGGAAAGCAATCAGAGGAATAGGTAAATATTTTCCCTTTCCCTTCTCTAGTTCAAGAAGGATTGGGGAAGAGGAGTGGTTTGCGTGATCTTATGTTCACAGGTTTGTTGTGCAAGCATGAGTTTCTACTCCTACACCTACTCCACCTTGGCTTTAGGTAGAGTGAAATGCCTACTGCCTCAGGAATTTTCTAAGTATGATCAAATGCCAATGTAAATTGCTTGTTATTCATTTGTGGTATTTTTGCCTAATTCATATATGGAGAATGTTGTGCCTTGGTACCACAAGGGGCAATATTAACATGTTTTTGGAGTCTCTGTGGGTGGTTTTAGGCTTCGGAGAGAGAATCTTATTTTCCAACCAGGAAGAAAAATCAACTCAATTCCTCTACTTATGGTATGGTTTACCTCCTGGTTGGAAATAAAAGCCTATATTTGTGGAAAGAAATATGGCATTCAATTTAAACAAGAACAACATCAACAATATTGTGTATAACAATTAAATGGGGCTGTGTGGTTAAGAGAATGGCTCCTAAACACTCTGCATGTAAACGTTGTCATTGGAGCATGAGATTTTTCTTTCAGCCAACTTTTTAATTGACAATATATGTGTGAACACATTATTTTTGCTTCTAGGCACAGACGAAAAAACTCTGATTGACATCATAACAGGGAGGTCAAATGCTCAGCGACAGCTGATTGCCAAGGAATACAAAGCAGCTGCAGGAAAGGTAGGGCTTGGCCAGTGACAAAAGGGTGCATCAATGGCAGGGTGCCATTATAAGCACATCGTTTTAGTTTCTCACAGGTTAGGTTTCACCCCATCAATGTAAAGGCGAACAATTGCTTTTTTTTTTTGCTTGCAAGTGAATAGAAAAACCTAAAAATATATTTACAACATCTATCTATATAAATAAAAATGTAATGTTCGTTTGTGGGATTAACAGAACTCAAAAACCATTGGACGCATCGACACCAAATTTGGACACAAGACCTAACAACCCAATGTATGTCCTTCACTCAGTTTTTTTTATTTTGTCATTTGGGAGTTGTAGTTGCTGGGATTTATAGTTCACTTACAACCAAAGAGCATTCTGAATCCCACCAACGATGGAATTGAACCAAACTTGGCACACAATTCTCCCATGACCAACAGAAAATACTGGAAGGGTTTGGTGGGCAATGTCCTTTGGTTTTGGAGTTGTAGTTCACCTACATCCAGAGAGCACTGTGGACTCAAACAATGATAGATCTGGACCAAACTTGGCACAAATATTCCATATGCCCAAATATGAACATAGATGGCATTTGGGGGAAATAGACCTTGACATTTGGGAGTTGTAGTTACTGGGATTTATAGTTCACCTACAACCATGGAGCATTCTGAACTCCACTGACGACAGAATTGGGGCACACTTCCCACATAGAACCCTCATGACTAACAGAAAATACTTAACGCCATTCAGTCCAACTCCCTTCAAAGTTCTCCTGACAAAGAGCCATCCAGCCATAGATATAGATATGATTCACACACAGAGAGATATAGTATCATAGATTTGAAAGGGACCCTTGAAGAAGGACAATGATATGTTGCATGTTCCAGAGTAGGCAAACCAGACACTCTCCACATCAACACTGACAAAGAAACAGCAATACTGTTTACCCACAAGCAGAAAGAAATTACTTTCTTTCTCATTACTTTATTTTTCGGATCAACAGACTGGGCCACAGCAACTCGTGGCAGGGGACAGCTAGTCATTTATTAAAAAGACAGTTGTGCTTGCTCTAAAAAACAGGGACAAAAATAAAAAAATAATTGTGATGTTTTTATTAGATGTTTTTAATTTTTATGTTTTCATGTTTAAATGTCCTCTTATCTTAGGGTTAATTTCCTATTTATGCTTAGTTATATGTTTAGATTTATGATTTGGTTTTATATATGTAAGGCATTGAATTTTGTCAGTATTTGTTGTAAACCACTTTGAGTTCCCCCAGGGGTGAGAAAGGTGGTATATAAATACAGGTTTTTTTTGTTGTGTCAGGAGCTACTTGAGAAACTGCAAGTTGCTTCTGGTGTGAGAGAATTGGCCGTCTCCAGGACGTTGACCTGGGGACGCCCGGATATTTTTTGATGTTTACCATCCTTGTGGGAGGCTTCTCTCATGTCCCCGCATGAGGAGCTGGAGCTGATAAAGGGAGCTCATCCACGCTCTCCCCAGATTCGAACCTGCGACCTGTCAGTCTTCAGTCCTGCTGGCACAGGGCTTTAACCCACTGCGCCACCAGGGGATAATAATAATAATAATAATAATAATAATAATAATACTATGCTATTTACTTGAAAAGCATCATACTATCGAAACATTCTAAAGTGAAGCAAACTATGCCTGTGTCTGTAAACAATGACCTTGGAGTTTAATTTTAAGGCTTTATTTTCCAGTCCTAGACCAGATTTTTCTTCTCAAGAGCTAGTTTTTTAAGTTCAAGGAGTTTTTGGACAAAGATCCATCCAGTTATGTGAACTTGTGCACACACAAGTATCGTGGAAATAAAACCAAAATTAAAGGCGCTGTCTTTGAGGTTATTACAGCCGTAAAAGCTAGGCAAAACCAATAAGTTGTTCAAGGTTTTTGACAGTGAGAGGTATTCACAGCTATCCTTCTTCCCTTTCTTTTTAAATAAAGGAACTCAAAGATGCTTTGAAGGGTGATCTGTCTGGAAACCTCGAGCGTGTAATGGTGGCACTTGTAATGCCTCCAGCGCTGTTTGATGCTAAACAGTTGAAGAAATCCATGAAAGTAAGTCTACCACGATGATGTCTCTCCTTACTTGCCTTCATAATTGGCTCGTCGTACTTCTCTGATGCTATTTTATGGAAATAAACATTGTTGTACTGTATTATATTGAGTGAATTCCTATCATAAAAGTACTTTAAGATGTTCAACCATGATTGAGCATTTGGGGAAATTTTCTTCTGTTTGGAAGGGGACATATGTGGCTCATTGGCTAGATTTTGACCACCCTGGATTAGAGTGTCGGACTGGGAATTGGAAGATCAACATTCAAGTCCCCATTCAGCCATGAAATTAACATGGTCTTACCTTTGACCAGGTAGTCAGTCTCAGCCTGAGCATTCTTATAGAGTGATTGCTGTGAGAATGAAATGGGGAAAGGGAACCATGTGCCAAATAAAGAAAAGAGTCATTGAACACGGGGGAGAGAAATGAAATACAAATGTAATAAATCAATTACTCTGTCCCATTTTCCCCAGGGTTCTGGAACTGATGAGCAGGCCTTGATTGAAATCCTTGCTTCCCGGACCAGCAAGCAAATGAAAGAAGTAGCCCAGGCTTATTATACAGGTAACACTAGTTTTGACTGGATGAGTATTAGGCTTTGGTCCCGACTTCCTGACATCATAGTAAAGGTCTGATCTTTCTGACCAAAGGGTTGGCAGTTCAAATCCAGGAAGCAGGATGAGATCCTGCTGTTAGGCCCAGCTTCTGCCAACCTAGCTGTTCGAAAACATGCAAATGTGAGTAGATCAATAGGTACCGCTTCTGAGGGAAGGTAATGGCACTCCATGCAGACAAGTCCATTTCACTCAATAAGCTCATTTTTCAAAGTTTTTTTTATTTGCTATGCTCTGCATGCACGACTCCCCATCAGAATACCATGCACCAGAGTGGGATGCTAAATCTACTCCCAGTGCCAGGCTTTTCTATCTTACCAAGAAAACAGTCATAAATCTTAGAGATATTAATCAAAGCCAGAGCTCTGCTACTATAGGAGAGCTGTACCTAGTCCAAGCAGAGACTTCGCTAGGCTAGCTGTGTTAAATTCCACAATCCATCTTGCTCAGCTTCTCTGTAGCTTGCCAATTCATCTTCCAGGGATGAAACCACCTCTCAAAACAATGTGGGATGAGTTGCAGGGAATAGAACAAGGCTGACCTACAAGAATTGCCGTTAACTTCCCGTGAACTAAAATGGGATGTGAGTTAATTGCCCCATTGGTTACAGTGAAGCCTCATCACAATTAGGTTTTATTTGAAGGCCTAATTGAGTATGTGGATAGCTGCTTTTAAAGAAACAATCCATATGGTCACATCCAAAAGCATACAAGAAAAGGAAAAGACTGATCCCTCATCCCTTCTACATCTTAAAGAAAACCTCAGGCTCAATTCTGGATATCTTCTGTTGAATATATTTACAAGCTGAACTTTAGATAGGTTTTGTTAGTCAGACTAGATCTACTGGCCAAACCAATCGCCTCATAACTGCATTTGAAAAGGCAGGTTCATATAGAATCACAGAGAAGGTCATCCAGTCCAACATCCTGTCAATGGAGGCCACTCAAACCTATGAGAGGTGGACATCAAATCTATATCTGAAAAAACAATGGAGTCTGTCAAATAGCTATAATTACCAGAAAAGAGGGGAACTGAGACAGGGGCTCTCAGGGTCCAGGAATATGAGAAGATGTGATCTGGTGGTGCAGCAGATTAAACTGCTGAGCTGCTGAACTTGCTGACCAAAAGGTTAGCAGTTCAAATCCAGGGAGCGGGGTGAGCTCCCACTGTTCGCTCCAGCTTCTCCGAACCTAGCAGTTTGAATACATGCAAATGTGAGTAGGTACCACTTCTGTAGGAAGGTAATGACACTCCATGCAGTTATGCTGGCCACATGACCTTAGAGGTGTCTATGGACAATGCTAGCTCTTTGGCTTAGAAATGGATATGAGCACCAATCCCTAGAGTTGGACATGACTAGACTTAATGTCAGGGGAAACCTTTACCTTTACTGGCCCCAGCCTGCATGTTCCCCACCTCTACTTTAAAGCAACTGTGGACAAGGAATGGCTAGTTAGCATACACAGTATCTATAGATCATGACCAACAAAGTTTGGAGCTTGTATTGTTGAAGGCTTTCATGGCTGGAATCACTGGGTTGTTGTAGATTTTTCGGGCTGTATGGCCATGTTCTAGAAGCATTCTCTCCCGATATTTCTCCTGCATCTATGACAGGCATCCTCAGAGGTTGTGAGGTCTGTTGGAAAAAGCAGTTTCCCTTCATGTGTCTTGGAACAGTTTCCTCCCATAGAGATGTTCAATGTATTTTCAAAGGCTTTCATGGCCGGAATCACTGGGTTGCTATGCAGTTTTTGCTATGCAGCCCCCGGTGGTGCAGTGGGTTAAACCCCTGTGCCGGCAGGACTGAAGACCGACAGGTCGTAGGTTTGAATCCGAGGAGAGGTGGATGAGCTCCCTCTGTCAGCTCTAGCTCCCCAAGCGGGGATATGAGAGGAGCCTCCCACAAGGATGATAAAAACATCAAATCATCCGGGCATCCCCTGGGCAACGTCCTTGCAGACGGCCAATTCTCTCACACTAGAAGTGACTTGCAGTTTCTCAAGTTGCTCCTGACATGACAAAAAAAAAACTGGGTTGCTTCTAGAACATGGACATACAGCCCAAAAAACCTACAACAACCCAGTGATTCCAGCCATGAAAGCCTTCAACAATACATTGAACATCTCTATGGGGAGAAACTGTTCCAAGACAAACGAAGGGAAACTGCCTTTTCCAACAGACCTCACAATGTCTGAGGATGCCTGCCATAGATGCAGACGAAACATCAGGAGAGAATGCTTCTAGAACATGGCCATACAGCCCGAAAAACCTACAACAACCTGAAGTTTGGAGCATTTTGCATACATTAGCTAATGGCTTGTAGTGGGGCTGTGTAGTGTAACTGTCCACCAATGGAGTAACATTGTGTGGCTTCGCTGTTAAGAGGGCATTGTCTAAAATTACAGTTGACTTTTCTGTGTCCTTCACAAGATTAAGGGGTGGAATTAATTGACCAAGAAACTGTCATACACTTTTGCCCTTGCTGTTCATTAAGAGCGTGTTCCTTGCTGCTTTTGGTTTGAGCAAATAAGGTTGACTTTCATTATTCTTGGCTTTCTTGTTTTAGTTTATAAGAAGAGCCTTGGAGATGACATCAGCTCTGACACAACTGGGGACTTCAGGAAAGCCCTGTTAACTCTGGCAGATGTAAGTAGTGCTTCAATCAAGGGCATATTTCAGATGCCTCTGGATTGGGAGGCCCCTCTTAACATGTCAATGTTGGTTATTACCTATAAAGCCCTAAACAGTTTGGGTCTAGGTTATCTGTCCAATCACATCTCCCTATATAGGCCATCTTGTGCACTGCGGTCAGCGGAGGAGCCCCTGCTCTCGCTCCCACCTCCATCACAAGCATGGCTAGTGTATTTCCACACTGGACAAAAGGAGGAAATTGTAAATTGATATCTTCTTTTTCAGTGGGGGAACTGAACTTAGCCAACTCTATTTTATCACTCAGAGGATTGCTTTAGCAACGGGAGGGATGTCCAGTCCTCTTATAAATCCCACAGCAGATTCTCTTCCATGCCCATTCCTTATCTGCGTCCAAAGCAGGAGGAAGCTTTAGTCATGAAGCACTGGGTTTGGCATTGACTCCTAAAGCCACATATTTAGAAATACATGTGTCATTGGAAATGAATAGATTACCACAGAAATTTCTAATGTCATTTTGCACTGAAAATGATTCCTGTGATGGTAGTCCTCCATTTCCTGTTCTCTTTGAACTGCCAAATAATAATTTAATTTGATTCTTACGTTTTTTTAAATTATGTTCTTTCTTAGGATTTTTGCATCTTTTCTCTTTTATATTGTTTCAGAGCAGAAGAGATGAAAGTCAAAGGGTGGATGAGCAGGTGGCAAAGAAGGATGCCCAGGTAGGTAATGGCAGTTTAAAAGGGAACAAACAGTTGGGTTTCATAATTAAGCAGTTCCTTCTCTGTTGAAACTCCCGAACTTGAATCAGAAGGCGGAAATTGTGAGAGCTATGGATGGGTAAAGTGGTGAAAGGAGCAAGCTTGATATGTCTGGGGAGAACCTAAAAGAAGACAATGTCCTCTACTGAGCTAGTGATTTTGTGATTTGTTTGTCTTGATGTCTCCTTGAGAATGTTTTACAAGTTTCTCAGATCTCCTTCACAAAACTTTTCCTTCTAGATTCTGTACAACGCTGGTGAGAAAAGGTGGGGAACGGATGAAGACAAGTTCATTGAAGTTCTCTGCTTCAGCAGCTTTCTCCAGCTGAAACGGAGTAAGTTCAGATCTGCAGATGTATCCCAATTTACATTATGATTTTCACTTGATGAAGAAGGAGGGTTTTGCTCATGGGCCAGTACATAAGTACCTTGGCAGAGATCCACACTGCACCAATAGGCTTCATGGATCTTGATACTTTTATATTTTGCTGAAGAATTAAGAACTGAGAGTAGGAGAAAGAGAGAAAGGAGAGATTGAAATCATGGGTTGGCAAGTAAGTTACAGTGTAGGGCAGTGGTCCACAACCTTTTTTTTTGACCAGGGACCACTTTGACCAACATTAGCATCAAAAGGGTTTCAAATCAGTTTTTGGTTGACTTTAGATTTGGTTTGGTTATTTGGGATGCTGATTCAGGAAATTGCATTGGATAGATCACATCAGCTCTAGTTTCTGATACAGAACATATGTCATCCAGTAGTCACCATCTGCTTGCCCACAGAAAACCATATTTAATAAGCCTCAGCACTATAAAAGGGTTTTGAGAGACCAGTTGCTCTTGTTGCAACAGTGTCGTAACGGTGAGGCCACAGACCCTATTTTAGTTTTCTTTGGAGGCGGTGAGTCAGGATGTTTCCATTCCATTGACCAGACTTTGGTCTTAGGATCAGAGTGATGGACCCAACTTTCACCCTGTATCATCAGTCTGGGGAAAAGTCCTCCTGGTTTCCATGGCACATCATTGTCAAGAAAGCCTGAGCATTCAACTCGTTCTTGCTTCTGGAAAGGTATGAGCAGCAGGGGAACCCAGCGAGTGGAGACCTTATGCAGATGAAGATGGTCTTGGAAGATCTTTTCCATGGACACTACACTCATCTTGACATTTTGGGCTCGGTGGTGAACAGTTACATGATGATTTTCCAAAATGTTGATCTCCACTTGCCGGATGGTGTGTTCTTGACTCCATCATAGGACTCCATCCATAGGGGAGAACGTATTCTCCCCTATGAACCATCAAGGCTGTTAAGATCTTCTGAAGGGGCCCTGCTCTCGGTCCCACCACCCTCGCAATTGCATCTTGTTGGGATGAGAGATAGGACCTTTTCTGTGGCCCCCCCCCCCCAGCTATGGAACTCTCTCCTGATTGAGATCAGATCTGCCCCCTCCCTCCTGACCTTCAGGAAGCTAGTGAAATCCTGGTCATGGAACGAGGTATTCCCAGAATGGTGGCGGAGACTGGCAATTGACTAAAGTTATCGACCACATATGCGTGGGACATGATTTCATCTTGACAAACTGGCTTTTATTTACTTTGGTCTATATGTATTTTAATTTATTGTTGATGAACGATGTTTTAGATTGCATTGCTAGCACTGAATCCTTGCTGTTGGCCGGTCTGAGTCCCTCTAAGGAGGTAGAGAAGATCGGGATACAAAAGTTTAAAATAAATAAATAGTCCTTGCAGACCACTGGTGCTCTGTGGACCAAGGTTGGGAACTGCTGGTCTAGGGCATTGAAATAAAAATACGTTGGACCTTTGTGCTAATGTATATGCTACAGTAGAGTCTTGCTCATCCAACGTAAACGGGCCGGCAGAACGTTGGATAAGCGGAAATGTTGGATAATGAGGGATTAAGGAAAAGCCTATTAAATGTCATATTACATTATGATTTTACAAATCAAGCACCAAAACATCATGTTTTGCAACAAATCGACAGAAAAAGCAGTTCAATACATGGTAACGTTATGTAGTAATTACTGTATTTATGAATTTATCACCAAAAACATTGCAATGTATTGAAACAGCTGTGGATCCAGGCGGGAGGCAGACTGCATTGGATAATAATACAGAATGTTGGATGTGCGAAGGTTGGATAAGCCAGACTCTACTGTATTTATGAAACTGGTGGTCTCATTTTTTCCCCTCATGTCTAAGCCTTTGAGGAATACAGACACCTCAGTGGGAAGAACATTGAAGACAGTGTAAAAGGTGAATTGTCGGGACATTTCGAAGACTTGCTGTTGGCTATTGGTAAGAAGACCTTGAGATAAACTTTCTTGTTGTGCCTTTCTTTTACTTCTCAAATATTACAGAAATAAATGTTTTTGAGTATGTGCTACAAGCTTGTGCTTTTGCAGAGATTAAAAATGGTGAGCAGCATTGATCCAGACCAGGAGAGAGAATCGGAAGCACAAATTCTACTCCGAACTGTTATTTATGAAAATATAATCCAAAGCAGAAATGAGGAGGATAGCTCTGAGCTTTTGGCCTGTATGGCCATGTTCCAGTAGCAGAAGTAAGGAGATTAATCCACCATAACTTTTCAATTCAAAATGTTTAATGTACTTCTGGTGTTACTGCAAGAAGGTCCTCCATGGTGCATGTGGTAGGGCTCAGGGTGCATTTCAGCAGGTGGTCAGTGGTGTGCTCTTCTCCACCCTCGCATGTTGTGGATTCCATTTTGTGGCCCCATTTTTTGAGGTGGGTTCTGCATCTCGTGGTGCCAGAGCGCAGTCTGTTCAGTGCCTTCCAAGTCGCCCAGTCTTCTGTGTGCCCAGGGGGGAGTCTCTCATTTGGTATCAGCCATTGATTGAGGTTCTGGGTTTGAGCCTGCCACTTTTGGACTCTCACTTGCTGAGGTGTTTCAGCGAGTGTCTCTGTAGATCTTAGAAAACTATTTCTTGATTTAAGTCGTTGACGTGCTTGCTGATACCCAAACAGGGGATGAGCTGGAGATGTCTCTGCCTTGGTCCTTTCACTATTGGCTGCTACTTCCCGGCGGATGTCAGGTGGTGCAATACCGGCTAAGCAGTGTAATTTCTCCAGTGGTGTAGGGCGCAGACACCCCGTGATAATGCGGCATGTCTCATTAAGAGAAACATCCACTGTTTTAGTGTGGTGAGATGTGTTCCACACTGGGCATGCATACTCAGCAGCAGAGTAGCATAGCGCAAGGGCAGATGTCTTCACTGTGTCTGGTTGTGATCCCCAGGTTGTGCCAGTCAGCTTTCGTATGATATTGCTTCTAGCACCCACTTTTTGCTTGGCGTTCAGGCAGTGCTTCTTGTAGGTAAGAGCATGGTCCAGAGTGACTCCCAGGTATTTGGGTGCGCTGCAATGCTCCAGTGGGATTCCTTCCCAGGTGATCCTCAGAGCTCAGGATGCTTGTCTGTTCTTGAGATGAAAAGCACATGTCTGTGTTTTAGATGGATTAGGGATCAGCTGGTTTTCCCTGTAATAGGCAGTAAGAGCACCTAGAGCTTCGGAGAGCTTCTGTTCAACCATCTCAAAGCTCCCTGCTTGAGCAGTAATGGCACAATCATCAGCATAGATGAAGCTGTCTGTCCCTTCTGGCAGTGGCTCTGGAGACTTGGACATGTTGGGGTAATAGAGTCAAATTGCAGGGAAAGAGATTCCTCCTAAACGTTCCTGATGGTATGCGTTGCTTGACAGTTGCCTTAGAGTTCAATGGAGTCTTCTCTGGAGGTTTTTAAGCAGAGGCTGGATGGTCATCTGTCAGGAGCCCTTTGATTTCTGTGTTTCTGCATAGCAAAATGGAGTTGGGCTGGATGGCCCAGATTCTAAACCTGTCAATAATAAAATCCACCGAAGTGAAACTCGCAAATGTGGAAGGATGACTGTATATTCAAAACCCAAAATTGATGTGAACCACCTTTGGTCTCTAAGTATGTGAAGTTTTATCTGTGTCCTTTGGAATGTTCCATCAAAAGTTCTGCATTTGGGAGTTTGTCTCCTTTTCTACCCTGGGGCCTCTTTGTTCCTGACTTAAATGAGGTTACCACACTGAAGCATACTGGTAATTTATGGAATGATATGGGCACCCTGAAGCAGCAGCATCCAATATAGCCTTTATCTATATTGGTGGCTACCATAAGGGCATCTTGCTTAAGTTCTGCATTTTGACTGGACTTTTATCTCTGTTTGCAATGCACACTTTTTCCACTGTGGGCTTTTTAACAAGGGCAAATTGGAAGAAAAGACAGAACATGTGAACATAAGATATGTTCCTTGTCCAGAATTCCAAAATCCAAAATTATGCACATAGGTATCTTATGATAGTGAAACCTTTGCTTTCTGGTGGTTCAATGTACTCAAACTTGGTTTCATGCAGAAAAATATTTTAAAACATTGTATAAACTTACTTTTGTGCTAATGTGTATAAGATGTATAAAACATGTTTAGACTTCAGTCCCATCTCCAAGATGTCTCATTATGTTATTCCTAAAGTTTAGTAAAATTTCTTTACTTGCAATTGGAATGAATTGATATCAATGGGTTAAAGTTCTAGTCTTTAGGGCAGCGGACAATAAGCTGTCCCCTTCTTCTCTTAAGTCATCCCTTCAGATATTTGTCTCCAGGTCAGGTCTGATCAAAACATGAAAGAGGGAGGGTATGACTTCACTTGATCTAGACCAGGTATGGGCAAACTTGGGCACACCTGGAGGGCCCAAGTTTGCCCATACCTGATCTAGACGCTATACTCAGTTGATACCGCTTTGTGTTGCCTTTGCTATTCTGGCTACTATATCACATTGTGGTTTCATATTTAGCCTATGGTGTCATGATATCCGGAGATCCTTGTCTATCTTGTCTTTCTGTCTGTTTGCCTACCTACCTCTCATGGTTTACATATTTTGAACTATTGTATTCTGCCTTGGGAGCACTGATAAACTGAGAGATAATATAGAAATGCCTTAAATGAATAAATATTGTGTGTTTGGTAGGGTTGTGCATTGGGGATTAATCCTGACCCGTATCATGTCCCAGTTTTCGATCCATTTTTTTGGGAACCTCCCAAAATAGGGAGGGCAGATCTTTCACACTCCAGTGCCGAAAGATCTGTTTTCTATTGAATTATTATGGGGTGGCTCCCCACTCAGGCTCCCCTTCCCAGTGTGCTTATTCTTACCTGCTGTTTCTACTCTAGAGGAGGCACTTGGCTGCAAACCGTGGGAGACACGTCTCCTGCTTGCCTCACATGCACTCTCCTGTGAGGCGAGTGCATATGAGGCATTTTTGGGGGGCCTTCCATGTGGCGTGCAGGCCCAGAAAGTGCCCGTGCCTGCCAGGGCTTGCAGCTGAGTGCCTCTTATTCAGCTGCAGGCCCTGGCAGGTGCAGGCACTCCTGCATGCCACACACACACACTTCTTGGAAAAGGGGGAGAATGCATGTGTGGCATGCAGAAGCACCCGTGTTTGCAAGGGCCTGCAGCTGAGCACCTCTTACTCTGTGATCATAGAATCATAGAATCAAAGAGTTGGAAGAGACCTCATGGGCCATCCAGTCCAACCCCCTGCCAAGAAGCAGGAATATTGCATTCAAATCACCCCTGACAGATGGACATCCAGCCTCTGTTTAAAAGCTTCCAAAGAAGGAGCCTCCACCACACTCTGGGGCAGAGAGTTCCACTGCTGAACGGCTCTCACAGTCAGGAAGTTCTTCCTCATGTTCAGATGGAATCTCCTTTCTTGTATACATGGCTATCATATCTCCTCTCAGCCTTCTCTTCTTCAGGCTAAACATGCCCAGCTCCTTAAGCCGCTCCTCATAGGGCTTGTTCTCCAAACCCTTGATCATTTTAGCTTGTCAATATCTTTCTGGAATGTGTCCAGAGGAGGGCGACTGATGCTGAAAAGCAGACCAGAAGCCGGGCCCCATTCCTGCTTGCTGTCATGTCTTGCTGATTTCCATAGTGGAAGGGGCTTTCTTGTTTCGTGCTACTGAAGAAACGAAAGACATGAAAGAAATGAAGGAAACAGGAGACATGAATTCCGCACTCAACTCTAGTGTTTGGTTGTGCCTTTTTTTGCAGGTTTGGGGCCCCATCCACACTGCCATATAATGCAGTTTCATAATATTTTATGGCAGTGTAGATAGGGCCTGTGTTGAGCTACAAAATGCTGCCATTTGATTTCATCACACAGTTAATGCTTCATTCTGCATGCAGTGTTTTATGCTATGCAGTTCTGATGTGTGGGATTCTCTCTGTACTATTTTTTCCCTTTCTTTCTTCTCCTCTGAATCTGGTTTAGCTGCCAGTAAATGATTGTGATTCTCCCTGTAATGTAGATTTCAACCCCCCCCCCCCCTTTACTGATGCTTCTTTTTCTAAAAGCAGTGTAATTTTCGCTGTGCCTTTGTGTCGATTATTTTTGGAGCAAACAAATGCTTTTGTTTATGCAGCTCCCACCCATATCCAGTTTTGTACTTGAAATAAAAAGGGAGGTTAATTGTATTTACATGGAGCTCCTTTAGAAGGCGCATTTATCTTCTAAAGAGCAGGCAGGAACCCCTCTGCAAATGCAAATTGCATAATTGCCCGCAAGAGGGCACCAGTAAGAGAAAAAGGACACGCAAAGGCAATGTTAAAAATTAACATCTATAAGTGCTTTTGATCAGCATGTCTATAAAATCATTTGCAAGCCCTGTGATCACTTGTCACAGTGTTGTTTCAGGAAACCCTTTCTTGTCTTGTATCGATGACTTGTCCATGTTTGAAAATGCAGCTTGGTGCCATAGGGTTATCTCTCCCTTTTTCCTTCTTTTAACAGTTAAATGTGCAAACAACACTCCTGCATTCTTTGCTGAAAGACTGAACAAGTGTTTGAAGGTAAGAACACAGAAAGATGCTTTAGATAAAACCAGTCCCTTGCTCTTTCAAAGTCCAAAGAGAGAAAATTTTTCTCGTTGGGAACATGATCACCAAAGAGTGAAATTGTGGTCTAAAACTCATCTCCCGTGCAACTTGTTTTGACTATAATTTTTCTCTTTTTAGGAATCCTGATTTCAGATTTTATATACTTAGGCAATCTCTCATTGTCTGAGTATGATAACCTTTCAAGTGTAGTGTCTTGGCGGTGGATACGTAGGTGACTGTGGAGCCCTATTCTTGATCCGCATGTTCTTCCACAGTGAGGGCATTGGTTTCCAGATGGAAGGCGGTCCCAGTCAGGATTGGCTTGGCGCACCTTCTTCTTGGCAGATTTCTCCCTTTTGCCCTCCATTCATACCTCTTCGAATTCCACAGCACTGCTGGTCCCAGCTGACCTCCAATTAGAATACTCAAGGGCCAGGGCTTCCCAGTTCTCAATGTCTATGCCACAGTTTTTAAGGTTAGCTTTATGCCCATCTTTAAATCTCTTTTCCTGTCCACCAACATTACGTTTCCCATTCTTGAGTTGGGAGTATAGTAACTGCTTTGGGAGACAGTGATTGGGCATTCGACGACATGGCCAGTCCAGTGGAGTTGATGGCTTTGGAGCATTGCTTTACTACTGTTGGTCCTTGCTTCTTCCAGCAAAAAATCCTGAAAATCTCTTGGGAAGACAGGCTGACAAATGTCAGCCTGTCTTCCCAAGAGATTTTCAGGATTTTTTGGAGGCAACGCTGATGGAATCATTCCAGGAGTTGAGTGTGATGTCTGTAGACAGTCCACGTTTTGCAGGAGTATAAAAGGGTTGGGGGGATAATAACTTTATAAACAAGCCCCTTGGTTTCCACAGATGTCCCAATCCTCAAACATTCTTTTCTTCATTTGGAAAACTGCTGCACTTGCAGAACTCAGGCAGTGTTGTATTTCAGTGTCAATGTTGACTTTTGTGGAGAGGTGGCTGCCAAGGTAGCAGAAATGGTCAACATTTTCTAATGTTACACCATTAAGCTGTATTTCTGGCATTGCAGAGGGATTGGCTGGTGTCTGCTGGAAGAGCACTTCGAAATTCAGTGAGACGCCGAGCTTCTCATATGCTTCTCCAAACGCCTTTAGAGTGGCTTGTAGGTCTTCTTCTGAATGTATACAAACTACGTTATCATTAACATATTGGAGTTCTATAACAGATTTTGGTGTGACCTTGGTTTTGGCTTTCAGTCTGCTGAGGTTAAATAGGTTGCTATCTGTCCAATAGATGGTTTTCACTCTGGTGGGAAGCTTCCTAAAAGATCACTATGGGCAGTGTTAAATGTGGGAGAGTAGGCAGGCATTGTGACATTTGCCGTAGATATACTCCCAGAGAGAGTAAACAAATGCAATTTGAGCCATTCGCATTTTTATATGAGTATGTTACATTGTGTTTCATAGATCTTTTATAACGCTAATGAACTTTAATTGCACAATGAAGATCAAGGCATCCCAGCATCCCACAACCATATTTTGTTGTTTACTGGCCATCCAGTTCATGTGTTCATTGCATCTAAACTCAGAGAGAAACAGTAATAACATTACAATGAATCAGTAAACCAAATGTATTGTATAATCAATAGTGCAAATAGAAGCTTAATTGTTAGACCAACGGAAACAGGTCAGTAGGGTTCACTTGGACTGAGCTTTTTTTTGTTTTGGGTATCAACAATGTGGAGGCTCTCTGTTGGGGTTTAATTAAATATTGTGTGTATATATAAAATATTTCTGCAGTATATAAGTTTAAAATAGAAACAAACAGTTTAACCTTTTCCTTGTTGACAGGGAGCTGGGACAGATGAATTCACCCTGAACAGAATCCTTGTGACCAGGTCAGAAATTGACCTTTTGGATATTCGAGCTGAATATAAGCGACTGTATGGAGTCTCCTTGTATTCTGCTATTAAAGTGAGTACCATTATTATTACTAGCATCATCATTGTTATTAAAGCCTGTGTACTGGTGATCACAGCCTGTTTTATTCCAGCTCTGTTATCAGGAATTGCTAAACAAGCTTCCTGTGGAAGTCAGAATAGTAAAACAGGGGTTAGTCTTTGCTGCCAAATCCTGGTGTGCAATAAGACAGGATTCTTAATTATTTATTATTTATTTATTTACAGCTTTTATATTCTGCCCTTCTCACCCTGCAGGGGACTCGGGGCGGATTATAGTGTACACATATATGGCAAACATTCAATGCCAATTTTTTGACATACTAACATATACAGACATACAGAGAGGCTATTTAACTTTTCTGGCCGCTGGGGAGCTGTCGCTTTGACGCTGATGAAACACTTCTGCATTCCCACATTCTTCCCCGCTGGAATGCTTTGCTGGAGTCTTCTTTATGGCCTCATAAATCAGGTAATATAGCCTCCCCACACTTTAAGGTGGTACCTAATTTTCCTACTTGACAGATGCAACTGTCTTTCGGGTTGCAAAGGTCGACAACAGGCTACACATAATTGGTTGGAAACCCACTCCAACCTGGGCTGGCTTCGAACTCATGACCTTTTGGTCAGAGTGATCTTAGTGTGCATCTACTGTGGATTTAATGCAGTTTGGCACAGTGCTAGAGAATCCTGGGATTTGTAGTTTGGTGAGGCGCCAGTACTCTTTGGCAGTAAAGGCCGAAGATCTTGTAAAACTACAACTTCCATAATTCTACAGCATTGAGCCATGGCAGTTAAGGGGCCGTCAAACTGCATTAATTCTACTATGTACTCTTAGTGACATGCTCTTTTGAGAGAAGTAAAGCAGCAGTAAATGTACTGTGTATTATTGCATAACCAGGCTGTAGACGGATGCTGCTTATGTTAATGTTCAAAACTCTAAATGGCAAGCTGTTTGGAACAGAGGTCAGACATTCTGTCTGATAGGTTGCTGTGAGGTTTTCAGGCTGTATGGACTACTGTGATGGTTGAGATCATCTTGTATTGAGGATTTGGAGCATAACTTTACAATTACGGAGTTATACAACGCATATGTAAATCTGCGTATCTGTGTACAGCAGTGTTTCTCAACCTTCCTAATGCCGTGACCCCTTAACACAGTTCCTCATGTTGTGGTGACTCTCAACCATAAAATTATTTTTTGTTGCTGCTTCACAACTGTGATTTTGCTACTGTTATGAGCTGTAATGTAAATATCTGACATGCAGGATGTATTTCCATTCACTGGACCAAATTTGGCATGAATACCCAATACGACCAAATTTGAATACTGGTGGGATTCAGGCGAGTTGATTTTGGGAGTTGTAGTTGCTGGGATTGATAGTCCACCTACAATCAAACAGCATTCTGAACTCCACCAATGATGAAATGGAACCAAACTTGGCATACACAACTCCAATGACTAGTAGAAAATATTGGGTTTGGTGGGCATTGACCTTGGGTTTTGGAGTTGTAGTTCACATACATCCAGAGAGCACTGTGGACTTAAACAATGATGGATTTGGACCAAACTTGGCACAGATACTCAATATTCCCAAATGTGAACACTGGTGGAGTTTGGGGAAAAATAGACCTCGACATGTGGGAGCTGTAGTTGCTGGAATTTATAGTTCACCTACAATCAAAGAGCATTGTGAACCCCACCAATGATAGAATTGGGGCAAACTTTCCACACAGAACCCCCATGACCAACAGAAAATACTGTGGGTTGTTGTAGGTTTTTTCAGGCTGTATGGCCATGGTCTAGAGGCATTCTCTCCTGACGTTTCGCCTGCACTTTGGCAAGCATCCTCAGAGGTAGTGAGGCCCTCACTACCTCTGAGGATGCTTGCCAAAGTGCAGGCGAAATGTCAGGAGAGAATGCCTCTAGACCATGGCCATACAGCCCGAAAAAACCTACAACAACCCAGTGATTCCGGCCATGAAAGCCTTCGACAATACAGAAAATACTGTGTTTTCTAATGGTCTTTGGCGACCCCTCTGATACACCCTCGCAACCCCCACAGGGATCCGAACCCCCAGGTTGAGAAACCCTGGTGTACAGTGTACATCCATGTGCTCTGGAGGCTATTTGTGTTATTCAACCTCTGCCACCTTGAACTGAATATGGCAATTTCATATTGCACTAACATTTCCAACTGCGAACTTATAAATACATGAGACAGCAGTGGGATGCTGACCAATCTTAATTGCATTTGGGAAAATTATGTAAGAATGTTGCACGCTGTAGCCAAAACCTGGCGTCATACTTCATACTGACCAGAATGTGGAAATGTTACCTTTTGGGAAGCAACATTGAAATCTTTTTTTGAAAGTTCCAATATTTCCTCACTCAACAGATCAGGCTGTCTGTGGATTACAGTCTAAAAAGTAACTTTTATATAATAATAATAGTAACAACAACAACAACAACAACATTTTTATTCCACCCTATTTCCCCAAGGGGACTCAGAACAGAATCCAGGATATCTATAGACACAGACAAACATTCAATGGGTTGTTGTAGGTTTTTTCGGGCTATATGGCCATGTTCTGGAGGCATTCTCTCCTGACGTTTTGCCTGCATCTATGGATAGCATCCTCAGAGTTTGTGAGGTACCTCTGAGGATGCTTGCCATAGATGCAGGTGAAACATCAGGAGAGAATGCCTCTAGAACATGGCCATATAGCCCGAGAAAACCTACAACAACCCAGTGATTCTGGCCATTAAAGCCTCTGACAATACATTAAACATCCAATGCCTTTGAAACAATGAAACACAAATACACAGACAAATACACAGACAAAGGCAAAGGCTTCATCTTTCATCTCCGGCTCTGGAGGCGGTGCTCATCTCTGGCTCTGGGGGGTGTTGCTCATGGTGTTCGTAGACACTTCCTAGGTCATGTGGCTGACATGAGTGCATGGAACACCATTTACCTTCCTGCCAAGGAGGTACCTATTGATTTGCATGTTTACAAACTGCTAGGTTGGCAGGAGCTAGGGCTAACAGCAGGAGCTCACCCCACCCCGCAGATTCGAACTGCCAACCTTCCAGTCAGCAACTTCACCTGCTCAATGGTTTAACCAGATTCGCCACCATGGACCCTGCTCTTTTCCAAATTCTGGTGCCATTCTCAGACGGTATTAGATACATATACTTTTTTTTTTTTTTTTTTGCCTGGAGTGTCCTAAGAATTTCTGTTTTTATTTTGTAAAAGTAGATCTCTGGCTCTTGAAAGAAAACAGATATATTTCAATTTACATCTGCTTGCTTGAGGCGGTAAATCCATTTTACATGCAAATATCAATTTTAAAAGGACTTGGATTTTCTAACAACAGCAAAGGGGCAGATAATAAAGATTATAGGCAGAGAAAATCAGTGCAGAAATTCCCCTGAGTGCATACATTGAGCAATGTATTTTACTTTTGTCTGAGTGGAAAATTGGGGGTTTCCTGAGACTCTCTAAATATACAGTCTGGGGAAATAGATTTGCTGTCCGATTGTTTGCAGAAGACCCAGTTCAGGATATCCTGTTAAGTACAAAACATGCTCAACTGTTACATGCTGGCTTTAGGGGAATCTACCGTATATACTCATGTATAAATCTAGAAATTTGAATTAAAAATCAACCCCTCAAAAAACAGGGTCAACTTATCTATGGTTTAATGAAAGTACTGGACATTAACTCTTAAGATCTAGTACTTACACTACGGAGCCATCCCCATCTCTTTAGGAGAATGGCAAAAGATGAAAATGCAGTGAGTTGCTGTGAGTTTTCCGGGCTGTAAGGCCATGATCAAGAAGCATTCTCTCCTGACATTTCACCCACATGTATGGCAGGCATCCTCAGAGGTTGAGGAGTCTGTTGGAAACTAGGTGAGGTTTATATACCTGTGGAATGATGTCCAGGGTGGGAGAAAGAGGCAAGTGTGAATGTTGCAATTGGCCACCTTGATTAGCATTGAATAGCCTTGCAGCTTAAAAGCCTGGCTGGTTGCTACATGGGGGAATGCAGTATGAACTTTTATGAAGAAGGATGCACCTTTTTCTCTTAGTAGACTGATAAATGCAAAAGCTTTGTCCATTGTAGAGTCGAAGGCTTTCATGGCTGGAATCACTGGGTTGTTGTAGGTTTTTCGGGCTATTTTTTTTTTTTTTTTTTTTTTTTTTTTTTTTTTTTTTTTTTTGTTTTTTTTTTTTTTTTTTTTTTTTTTTTTTTTTTTTTTTTTTTTTTTTTTTTTTTTTTCTTTTTTTTTTTTTTATTGCCAAAGGCTTTCATGGCTGGAATCACTGGGTTGTTGTAGGTTTTTCGGGCTATATGGCCATGTTCTAGAAGCATTCTCTCCTGACGTTTCCCCTGCATCTATGGCAAGCATCCTCAGAAGTTGTGAGGTCCTCACAACCTCTGAGGATGCTTGCCATAGATGCAGGCAAAACGTCAGGAGAGAATGCTTCTAGAACATGGCCATATAGCCCGGAAAAAAAAACTACAACAATCCAGCTTTGTCCATCTTGGGAAAGCCAAAGAGAAGCTTCTGATTTTTCTGACATGTCACAGTTTCTGGTGTTTCTCAATGGATGGGAAGATGTCAGTGGCCTGCTTTGGGTTGTTGTAGGTTTTTTCGGGCTATATGGCCATGTTCTAGAGGCATTCTCTCCTGATGTTTTGCCTGCATCTATGGCAAGCATCCTCAGAGGTAGTGAGGTCTGTTGGAACTAGGAAAAAGGGTTTATATATCTGTGGAATGACCAGGGTGAGACAAAGGACTCTTCTCTGCTGGAGCTAGGTGTGAATGTTTCAACTGACCACCTTGATTAGCATACAATGGCCTGACTGTGCCTGGGGCAAACTTTTGTTGAGAGGTAATTAGATGTCCCTGCCTGCTGGCAATGGCTCTTTGGTGCTTCCTCTAAAAGGAGCACCAATTAAATAGAGGAAGTTGGTGCTTCTTTTAGGTTCTCCCAGGACGGACTTACCTTCCACTTGTGTCACTCTACTCAGAGGAAAGGATGGGTCCTTTTGGATAAAAGTTGTGCCTTACATTTTATCAAAAAAAGGAACTATCCCTTTCTCTATCTAAATAAAGTGGTAAAATGCCTGTGTGGGGAAATGGCATGTGGTGGTGGCCACAGGCAGCTGGCCTTCAGAGATGGTGACCATGCTTTCCTCTCTCTGCAGAATAACCTTTAACATATGTACAGATCATAGCAACATTCATAAATTTGGCCCCAAAACCTGACCTTGAATTGCACATAGAGTCAATGTATACAAGAGGATATGTAATAGAATGATAGAATTGTAAAGTTGGAAAAGATCACAAGGATCAAAAATACAACCCTATTCCACCATGCAGGAATTCACAATCAAAGCGCTCCTGGCAGATGGCCATCCAGCATTTGCTTTAAATTCACCACGCTCTGAGGAGCATATTCCTCTGTCAAACAACTCTGTTAGGAAGTTCTTCCTAATGTTTAGGTGGAATCTCCTTTCCTACAATTTGAATCTGTTGCTTTTTCTCCTAGTTTAGCAGAGAACAAACTTGCCCCCTTCTCAATTTCATACACTTTCAAATATTTCATAGAGTAGGAAAAGATCATCTAGTTGGTTCCTTGCCATACAGGAACACTAAATCAGTGCATTCCCAACAGATGATCATCCAGCCTCTGCTTAAAACTTTCAGAGAAGGATACTCCACTGCCATTTAAGCATGGCTCTCTCATCCTTCTTTTCTCCAAGCTGAACAATCCCAGCTTCCTAAGCTCCTTCTTTTAGGGCTTGGCTTCCAGACCTTTGGCCATTTTGGTTACTCTTTTCTGGACACCTTCCAGGTGTCTTGTTTTTATTTTCTAATGGTTGCATTTTCCCCAACACTCTTACTGCTCCATCACACTAGATCCACTTAAAATCTGGTTTCAACCTCATGCAGAATTCTGGGGTTTATAGTTTAGTGAGGCTGTTAAAGGCTCCTTCCTAAACTACAAATCCCAGAATTCTGCAGAAGGCAGCAACTGGATTCTCTAGAGCAGTTTTCTCAACCTGGGGGCCGGAGCCCCTGGGGGGTTGTGAGTTGGTGTCAGAGGGGTCGCCAAAGATCATCAGAAAACACAGTATTTTCTGTTGGTCATGGGGGTTCTGTGTGGGAAGTTTGGTCCAATCCTCTTGTTGGTGGGGTTCCGAATGCTGTTTCATTGTAGGTGAACAATAATCCCATCAACTACAACTCCCAAATGTCAACGTCTATTTTCCCCAAACTCCACCAGTGTTCCCATTTGGGCACATTGAATATTTGTGCCAAGTTTGGTCCAGATTCATCTTTGTTTGAGTCCACAGTTCTCTCTAGATGTAGGTGAACTACAGCTCCCAAACTCCAACCCCGTCAAACCCTTCCAGTATTTTCTGTTGATCATGGCAGTTCTGTGTGTCAGATTTAGTTCAATTCAATCATTGGTGGAGTTTGGAGTGCTTTTTGTAGGTTAGCTATAAATCCCAGCAACAACTCCCAAATGACAAAATCACCCCCCCCCCCCCAAAAAAAAAAAAAACCCAAACAAACTCCACCAGTATTCAGATTTGGGCATGTTGGGTATTTGTGCCAGATTTGGCCAATGAATGAAAATACATCCTGCGTATCAGATATTTACATGATGATTCATAACAGTAGCAAAATTACAGTTATGAAGTAGCAACAAAAATAATGTTATGGTTGGGGATCATCACAACATGAGGAACCATATTAAGGGACTGCGGCATTAAGAAGGTTGAGAAACACTGCTCTAGTGTGATGAATGAAGTATTTAGTAGCAGTCTTGCATTGCTAGGCAGCCAAACCCGTGCACATCATACAAGTTCCATCCTGCTCTGGAGCCTAATTAGTTTAATGAGTCGCAAGCAATGTACTGAAGCACAGCCTTTACAGTTCTGCAGCATCTCTTTCTGGAGATAAACTATTTTCTCTGAGTGGAGTGTGCCTCTTAATGTTGCTTTTCCCATTTGTTTTCCTTGCAGTCTGATACGTCTGGGGATTATGGGACTACGTTGCTCAGGATTTGTGGTGGAGATGACTGATGCGGAGAACCTTCAGCGGAAGTACAGAGCTGCAGTCTTTCTTGCTTCCCTCCACAATTCTCGTTGGTGGAGCTTTTGAGTGTTTAAGCAAGTGTAAAATTGCCCCCATGCTTCTGACTGCTTTCTCATTAGGCATCATAACAAACAGATGCTTATTTTAGCATATCCCTTCAGGCCACCGATGACACTCATTTCAACACACACTGTGATTTTGGATGGGATCCATGCTCAAAAATTGTACAGGCCAAATCTGCTGGCATTACAGAAACGGTTAGTGCCCGCGAAGTTGGAGTCTGCTGAAATATTAAAAACAAATGACTTTGTATGGATCCAGTGTTTCTCTAGGAATGCACATGATTGGAATGAAATGCTATTTCCCCCAAATTGTTTGGATTTGTTTTTTAAATAAAAAATTCCAACGGAACTGCATGTGATGCTGTTTTGAAACCAAAAGTTTTAAGCCTTTCCGATGGTGTTTGTGAAGTTATAAAGAGTTCTGGATTCTAAGTACTAAGTCAAAACACAATCATATAGTCCGAGCTTGGAAAAAGTCACTACTTTGGACTGTATTTCCCAACATCCTCTAGCTAGGATTATTGCTTTTTGGATTATTTATTTTTTATTTATTTATATTTATTTACAGTATTTATATCCCACTTTTCTTACCCCTGGGGGGTTTACATACATAAACCAAATCATAAACCAAACAACATATGACTAAGCATAAAATACAATGGGACAAATTCTCCATAAGATAAGAAGACATTTAAACATGAAAATAAAAATTAAAAAAAAAAACCTGATAAAAACATTAAAATCACATGATCCAAACTCATAGACCAGGCTATTCCAGATGTCGACTACACATATTCCATATATACTTCTTGTACTGCGTTACTTTACTAGTCAAAAGCTTGGTTTCATAACCATGCCTTTGTTCTCTTTCTAAAGGCCAAGAGGGAGGGCACTGATCTAATCTCACTCAGGAGAGAGTTCCAGAGTCAGGGAGCCACCACTGCGGATGCCCTGTTTCTCGTCCCTGCCAACCGCATTTGCGAAGCAGGTGGGACTGAAAGCAGGGCCTCCCCAGAAGATCTTACACTCTGTGATGGTTCATAGAGGGATATACGTTTGGATAGGTAAGCTGGGCCACAACCATTTAGGGCAGTGGTTCTCAACCTGGGGTCCCCTGATGTTTTTGGCCTACAACTCACAGAAATCCTAACAGCTGATAAACTGGCTGAGATTTCTGGGAGTTGTAGGCCAAAAACATCTGGGGACCCCAGGTTGAGAACCACTGATTTAGGGCTTTGTAGGCCAAAGCCAGCACTTTGATTTGTGCTCAGTAGCAGACTGGCAGCCAGTGGAACTGGTGTAACAGGGGAGTTGTGTGCTCCCTATGTACTGCTCTGGTGAGAAACTCGACTGCCAGTCATTGCACCATTTGAAGCTTCTGACCAGTCTTCAAAGGCAACCCCATGTAGAGCGTGTTGCAGTAATCTATTAATGTAACAAGAGCATGGACCACCATGGTCCACGCTCTTGTTACAAGGTAGCACAGAAAACCCCTTTCAAGTGATAGATGAATATATGATACTGGGTTTTATAGTTTAAAAAAGTAACTTCTCCAATATCTTTGTAAGGTGGGAGTAGCTGTAGGCCACGTGTTTGTGTAGATCTCTTGCTCATGACTCCTGTTTCAGTCTCTGGCAGCTCTCAGTAAACTCAATTTACTATAGGGAGCTAGAGTAACTCCTTTTTAGATAGAGAGGTAAAGGGACACAGCAAGAGACAAAAGAGGTGGAAAGGATGAACAACTCTGCCACCATGCTGGGACAGCCTGAGGGGATGCAGCCCTGGAGAAACAATCATAAGAGTTGAAGAGGAACTTACGGGCCATCTAGTCCACTCTGTTTGCATAAACATACAGCTAAAGCGCTTCCAAAAGTGACCATCCAACTATTGTTTCAAGACCTTCCAAGAAGGGGAATCCACTATTTTGAGGCAATATTTTCTGTTGTCCCAACAAATCTTATAGTTAAGCAGTTCATCTTGGAATCTCTTGAATCCGTTGCTCCATGCCCTGGTCTTTGGAGCAGCAGAAAGCAAGCTTGTTCCTTTTTCTACTGGATCTTCAGATGTGACTCTCATATCACCTCTCAGGGCGCATCTACAATGCAGAATTAGTGAAGTTTGACACCATTTCAATCACCATGGCTCAATGCTATGGAATGTGGAGATTTGTAGTTTTATAAGGTCTTTGTTTTACAAGGTGTGCCAAAGAATGCTAGTTTCTCACCAAACTGCAAATTCCTAGAGTCCATACCATTGGGTCATATCGGTTAAAGCAGGCATAGGCAAACTCCAGATGTTTTGGACTTCAACTCCCACAATTCCTAACAGCCTACCTGGAAGGCTGAAGTTCATCTATGCTTGAGTTAAAGTGATGTCAAACTGTATTAATTCCACAGAGTAGATGCACACCCAGTCTTCTCCAAGCTCTGTTCCCTTATGTTCCATAACACTGGCGTAGTGGATAGCTGGGTCCAAATACTTTGGTGAAGTGGCCAATTCTTAATGTAGAAAAAAATGATATCACAATGACTGAAAGTCCCAAAGAAATACAAAACTGTCAATCCTATGTCCAGTCATAGAGGCTTGGAAAAGAAAGCGTTGTTCAAATTAGGCTGGGCTCCACATAAATCCGAGCATGGCCCTCTTAAATCATTCTAGTGCTAAGGTTTCAGAGCAGGGACACTTGCAAAAAAGCAACACCAAGCATGTGCAGAGTGCTTTTTAAATCTTAGGTTGCCAAGAAGCTGGGAAGACCAGATGGCAGTGTCCTCCAGGTTGACACTCTTTTCCTTCTGAGCTTAGATAATAATGTTTGCCATGCAGAGGAGAACACCAGCTGGAAGGGAGAAGGCCTGACAAGGGCTAACCAGGGTGCTTGGCTACAGCTTGCCTTGCTCCAGTTCATTTCAATGGGGCTGGCAGCCCTGACCTTCCTGTTGGATCACTGCCCATGGATGAGGGAGTTGCTAAGCTTCCCCCACAAAAGACCTGTTACCAAATTCCCCTTCTTCATGCCCTTTCATTTTATTTTTTTACAGATAGCAGAAGTTGCAGCTGCCTTTGCTAAACTTCTCTTTTTCCCCTCTTTTGCATTTCTTCCTTCCTTCTCCTGGAGCTGGGACAGCCAAAACTTTTGGTCAGAATTGTTAATGTTGAAAACAGCAGCAGGGTGGAATTTCCAAGAAGTTCTGCTTCTTTCGCCTTTTAGAAACTTTCTTCTTATTCTTTCTGGCCTTGTTTTTCCCCTTCCAATTACCATTCCAGGCTATGGGAATTGGAGCAAGCGTCAGCAGCAAACAATTCATTTTTGCTGCTGGTGTTCAATGAATCTTTGGCAGCAATTTTGGTGACAAGAGGCTCCTTCTATAAACTGCCAGCAGGTGGTGGTGTGTTTACAGAAAGAAAGAAAAAACCTGCTTTTCCTACTCAATTTGAGTCATTTGGGGAACATAAGTGGTGATTTCCCCCTTTCCCACTTTGAGCTCTTGATGTCCAACTGCTCCTTCTTACAAGCAAACAAAAACCAGAATTATATTTGGAGACTGGAGATATTTCATGTCTGCTGACCCGTCAAAAGAAGAAAACATAATATAAACACTATTTTTGCCATTTTTCTTAATTTAAATGTTAACAGAAAAATGTACACAAAAATAACAATGCTTATACATACTTAAACATGCCTAAGCAACATAACTAACTACACCATTTCACTCGCCAACATATGTAAAAGTAAAGGTAAAAAGTTTCCCCTTGACATTAAGTCTAGTCGTGTCTGACTCTGGGAGGTGGTGTTCATCTCCATTTCTAAGCCATGACTACATTACCTTCATGCTGAAGCAGCACCTATTGATCTCCTCACATTTGCATGTTTTCGAACTGCTAGATTGGCAGAAGCTGGGGCTAACAGCGGGGGCTCGCCCTGCTCCCTGGCTTTGAATCATCAAGCTTTCAGTCCACAAGTTCAGCAGTTCAGCGGTTTAACCTGCTGCACCACGGAGAGTTTCAAGGTAAAGGTTTCCCCTTGACATTAAGTGAACATCACTCTGAGGGGTGATGTTCATCTCCATTTCCAAGTTGAAGAGCCGGCGTCATCCATAGATGCCTCCAAGGTCATGTGGCTGGCATAACTGCATGGAGCGCTGTTACTTTCCCATGAGAACTAGGATGCATGCAGCTAAGCAGCATCCAGAGTGAGGCCACGATGGCTGGTTTATCAGTGAACAAGAACACAAACGCTAGAAGAGGCTGCAGCAGTTTGCTTTGGCCTGAACATACTGGGCAGAGCAGAATTATTTTCCCATTCCTCTCCTTTCCTTCTGCTGAGTTATTTGAATGCAAATTACTTTTGAGATTCGTTTGCAGCAAATTATGTAGACTAAGTATAGAAGTAGAAAGGAAAGAAGCTGGAGCTTTTCACAAGGGACTGGAAAAGAAGAACACAAAGAAGTAACCAGGGACCTCATCACACTAGAGCAACGTTTCTCAACCTGAGGGTTGGGATCCCTGGAGGGGTCATGAGGGGGTGTGTCAAAGGGATCTCCAAAGACCATCAGATTTGAAACACCAACTTTTCAGTCAGTAAGTTCAGTGGCTCAATGGTTTAACCCGCCGAGGTGTGTTTTTAATCAGGGAGAAAATCAAATTGTGATGGAAGTTGTCCATAGAGTTTTGCTGCAGAACCTAGGTTCTTAGAAAGTTCATATAAATAAAATCCACAAATAATCAAATCCACAAAAGCTAAACCCATGAGTGTGGTGAGTCAAGTGTTGTGTACTGGGAGAACAGTTCATCGTAGTCTTCCCACTGAAACACTACTTTTCTATCTTGCCATTGGAAGTAAATATGTCCCACAAAACTTTTCACGGAGGGAAAGAACTTAGCTTACTGCTCTTTACTTTTCCTTTGCTTTCTGCTACTTTCTTGAGGGTAAAAAAATAAATAAATCCCAGTTTAGAACTGGTTGGAGAATGGTGTAAAATTTGGAAATCATCCGTCAAACGGTCACTTAGATGCTGCTACAAATAGCTTTTGAAGATAACTAGAAACAGTTACTTGTTGCACTAATAGTTTTGCTCTTGATACATTGCTTTTGAAGTGTGTAACTTGCTTTCCAGCTCGTATTGTGTCGAATGTATAAACAAAATTTTGGGGTAAAAAAAAAAGAATTGTATGTGAACATGTCACATGACATGGATGCCTTATGATTTTGTTCTTCCTAGCTGAAAATGCTTTCCTTGGGTCACGAGCA